AACAACAACAACAACAACAACAACATTTCTCTGGTATAGCACATTAGATTTTAGGTTCACACAGGGAGGAGTTCACACTCACCCATTAACATTCACAACCAGCTCCTGGAAGGAGTTCGTTCCTTATGTGATCAGCGGTGTGGACCTCAGGGTCATACTCAAACATTATTAACTCCTGAACTGAGGTACCCCAGGACCAAATAAGTTACTGTTCTCCAGAAGAGTGTTTTAAAATATTTTAAACACTCATGTTACCTCATATCTCAATTTGTTTTGGCTAGTATTTACTTGTAAGTCTGACTTGATTTTAGGATCTCACGTGTAGGCAACATAAAATTCAGTGCTCTGAAAATAAGCAAGATCAACCTCTTACCTACTATTCCAGCAACTGTGGGGCTTGCTCCAAGAGACTTGACATGAAGGCTTAATAAAGGAACAACCATGCTTACACCAAACAAATCCTAAAACAAAATAGAACATATAGTAAGTCAACATGTGGTTCTCTAAAACATCACTTGAACAAAATGTAAATCATATACATTATGAATTAGTGCCCTGATTTTTCCTTTCTTCCCTCTATCTATGCATCCTTCTTTTCATCCTATCCTGTACATATTAATCATTCCTAATGCATGCCAATTGCTCCAGTCACTGTATCAATCCATCTTGTTAAGGGTCTTCCTCTCTTTCACTGACCTTCCCAAGCATAACGTTCTTTTCTATGGAGTAGCCTCTCCTAACAACCCAAAGGATGTGAGGCAAAGCTTTACTGACCTTGCCTCCAAGGAACACTCTGGCTGCACTTTCTCTGAGATCTGTCGGGGGTTTTTTTGGCAGTCCATGGGAGGTTCAGAACTCTTCTCTCATATCATAACTCAAAGAAATCAATTCTTCTATCATCCTTATTTGCTGTCTAGCTCTCAGATGCATAGCAAGTAATTGGAAAGACCATGGCCTTTAAGCTGACATCATCCCTCTTCAGGACATTGGAGAGGTCTCCAACAACTGACTCTCCCAATGATAAACAATGCCTCCTGGTCCAAGTACAGGTTTCACATTAGCACAATCAAGTGTTCTTTGATTCCCATTCTTCTCAGAGTCAGCCACAGTTTGTTGTGATACACACAGTCAAATGCCTTTGCATAGTCAATGAAACACAGAGAGACTTTCCTCTGGTACTCTCTGCTTTCAGCCAAGATCCAGCTGACATGCACTATAATATCCCTAGTGCCATGTTGTTGTTGTTATGTGCCATTGAAACGCTTGCAACTCATAGCGACCCTATGTACAACAGCCCTAAACCCTG